AATAAGTGCATACAGTTTAAGTCACTATTAGTTAGGCTCTCTGTTTCTTGCAGTCAAAAACACCCTTGCTGATACATTCAGGGTATCACAAGTAGCAGACCATAAAATATGGAATTAGCTGAGTGGCTCAGCACAGTGAAGGGCAGTGAGGACCCAATTATTTTTAGGTAGATTTTAGTTTATACCATGAGTCAGGAACCTAGGAATTTGAGTTTATCTTTCCCTTTCCTTATGCTATCAGCCACTGTTCAAAGCATGCCTATCTTACTGTCAGCTTTGCTCAGGTTCTTATCCACTACCCTATGATGTAAGCTTATTAAAGAGAAACTGATGCAGTTTCATTAGAAAGATAAAGTCCAATTTTTAGGCCTATAGAACTAAAGATAAAACCTCAAAAGATAAAACTAAAAGCACCTTAGTGGCCTGCCAGCCTTCAATGGGAATATCTCTGTGTTTCAGGAGATACCAAGATGTAATACAGTTAGTGGAGAGAAGCAGACGCCAAGAATATAATGATGAATGGCCTGTTAGTTTAGCGAATTATTTGGCATGGACACTTACAACAATTTCAATTCAATATTACTCTCAGGTTAGCTGTCCTACCCTTATTTTCCAAACTGGCACTTTCCTTAAGATATTAGATGACAATCAACATGTATAACATAGAAAAACCTCCCAGTCTATTATCAAGACTGAACTCTCAGTACTTTTGTAATAAATACTCTCAGACCAAGGGAAAAAAAAAAATTACAAATCCATAACTTTTAATAAAAGCAAAGACTACATTATAGGTAAAATAAACATTAGATAACTGTTAGTGAACAACCTTTCAATCTAGATGTCTATTCTATAAGAATACATATTTATACATAGTATGATTACAGATAATCTTTACTAGTATATCTCAAAATGTGTCCCCTGGAATATTCCTTTATCAAAAAAAAAAAAAAAAAAGACACCATGGTCAAATAAAGTTGGAAAATACTGCATACAACATCACCCTCTTAGATATTCACAATGTATATCAATGTATTAAGGGGTTTGAAAAGTGCTGTAAAATAAGCTAACTAATCATAACTTATCATTGCCCATATTTATAAGACTTGGGAGGTCCTTAACTATGTCTATTATCCTGTGGAATAATTGATATAAAGAATGTTTCTCATAATAGATTTGATCCAAGATAAATTTAGTAAAATGCATAAAATTATATGCACATGAGTCTTTCTGTATGAACACAGGAAAAATATGCTTACATAGTTAAAAAAAGATTTCTTTTATCTAACCCCAATGAGGCTATTACAAAACACACACACACCACACACACACAAAACTTCCTTTTAAAAACATATTTTACACAAACAAAAATAAGCCTATAATATATTAGTGTTAAACCATGTTCACTACCAATTTTTCAGAGTCTGAATTAAAAAATACTTATGTCAATAAAATGTTTTACATACTAAATGGAGCACAAGGAATACAGCATAGGGGTTGGCAAGTAAAATTACATTACTGTAATACAGCTAATGGAATAAAAATGACACACACAACTTGTCCATGCAGAAGAAATACAGCCTAATCGAAACTGATGGCTTCCAGCACATTCCTTTATTAGAATGTGGTCACCTGTCACAAAGTACACAAGCTCATGCACAAGATCAGGACGTTACATACAGCTGAGATCACAATGCCATGCATATAACAGCAGCGTGCTAGAGAATCGTACCACAGACTGTGCAGGTGTTCTCCCCCACCCCATGAGCCACTGTCAGCAGTTGCTGTGGAGTTTGGTTACCCACATCCATGACATGAACGGTGTCCTTTGGAGAATCTTGTTCCCTGTGGCTGTAAGTATTCTTATTTTTATAATATTTTAATGATGCTTGCTATCAAAATGTTAAGTACAGAACTAGAAATTATGAAACAGACTTTTTACAATACTGAACAATTGTATACATCTTATCTCAGGCACTTGTAATAAACCTTACTTACATTTAAATATATTGTTAAAACTAATTTACTTCTCAGGCTTAGATGAACCCAAAATAATACATCCCAATGACTGCACTCCAGTGAGATGAAGTAAATCAATCTTCAAAAATTACCTCCTTATTTCTACTACTCAGCACTTGGCAAGAGCCACTCTACTGACCTGGCTAAAGTGTGACTCACATAGACAAGTTCTTTATAATCACATCTATTAGGGTAACTATTTAACTTACATGATTTCAATTTGAAAGATCTGGCTTGGTTAACAACCAAACTGACAGTAATTATTTGTATCAATCAATGAAAGAAAGTATAGAATTTAGTCAATTAAAGTGCTTCCCTTCATTTCTTTGCACCTATCAGGTGTATTTCAATGTCTTTCTTTGCCTATTTATAGTCTAAGTGCATTCTACAAAGAATTCTATTGTCCTATTAGGCGACACCTGCTAAATTACTGGTGTTCAAAAAAGTACAGAATCAGAATTCTGGAGCTACTTGACACTTTGAGTGATTCAGCTCTACGCCTCTCAGCTCCATGCCCTTTCAGACTGGTGAATTCAATACTTCTGGAATGCCCCAGGACAGCTTTAAATCAATCCAGGAAGTAAGGAAAAAGAAAATACAGCCAACTCTCAATGATAATGGGAGGTAGGATGGATAAGTAAAATCTGAAGATTGAAAATCTTATTTTTTTAATTAGTAACTTCAATCCTTTCTCTTAGCGAACACTGACTTAAACATAAAAAAAGAAAAATTTTGTCAGGTAACAAAAGGACTTAAATTTACCTCTTTTCTCTGTCTCCTCCTAAGGCTCTGGAAGGTGTACTAACAAGAACCCTAGAGTCTGACATACACAGCTACAAAGCTGGAAACATAGTTTTACATCTAACTACGTTTTACATTTTCCAATTCAGATATTTAAAACTATCCATATCATAGTCCCAATATGTATTTTCATCTTTGCATAAAAAGGATGGCTTTATAATTTGTTTAAAAATCTGTATTTCTTTAGTGAGGAAATGACTATTTACCATAATCAATATCGGCAGTTATACCCAAATTTTCTGACTTTGTAAATCTATATTTGTAAATACTTACCAAGTTATGTTTTCTAAGAATATAAGATTTCTAAGTGATATGAATTGAAGATAGCAGTTTTACTAAACTTCAGTATACTTCATGATGGGAGCCAGTATGTCTTGATAAACTGGGCATAATAAAACTGGGGCTTGTAATAGTTGCCTTCCCTGATTCTTATAGATCTAGAATAAAACACTGTACTATTCTGCCTCAGTTCTTTGCCAGTAATCATCATTCAATGACCTGGTGAGACTATGGCAAAATACAGATCTTATTATAAAGCTCTTCATATAAATTGTTTTAATTAGCAACAACTAACATGTAATTCTAATACAGAATTAAGAATCATGAAGGCCCTGAAACCACGCCATTCTTCAAATATTTAAGTGCAGCAGAATCTCTTGTACAGAGCAAGCATGCCATACTGCAAGATGGGAAAAGTGACATGCTTACTGTTGCTATATGTTTACAAGGAAGACAACTGGGATTTGACCAAGAACAAAGTAAAAACAAGCATATTTTACAATAAAAGACATCAGAAAAAATTTGCAATAAGGAAATAAGTAATAAAACCTAAACTATGATAAACAGGTAGTTTGTCTTCCAAGGAAAGCTCATGAGATTCTAATATTGGTTTCAAATATATAACTTGAACTTTAACTGCCTATAAATCATTCTACTTTCATTTAGAGCATTAGTCTTCTATTAACTGAAAGTAAAACCCCTTTAAACAGTGGAGAAGAGAAAGGGAACAAATATCTGAATTGAAACATTCTCCCAGGCTTCATTATATATATATAGCTTCTTACATTTGTGAGGATAAGACAGCTGATAATAAGCACGTGTATCAGTAAACTTTTGCAAAGGTGTTTATTTCATTTCTAATTTATGTAGATAAAATTTTTAGCAAAGGAAGAAATCATACATAACAAGTGAAAATCAATTCACTTTTTGAAATAGGATGCTATTTGTATTATTATATGCGTATTTACAAAAGGAGCACTTTTGTTTGATATTCAAATATTTCACATGGGAGATACACTGCCTTAATTACAACATGGCAAAAGATACTTTTAGAAAATACATGATCATATGATTTAAGTAGGACTTACTATCTCTACAACAAATGAAAAAAAAAAGCTTTTGAAAGTTAAGTAAATCAAAACAATTGTCAGTTAAATTTTTCCATAGGAAAATAATGCACCAAAAAGTAGTCGATCTGAGTATTGTATATTACCCATTAGATCTCTATGAATAAGTCTAGGAGATACTTAAACATTTCTGAAAATATGAAATTTTCCAGGATATATTGAAATAAAAGTAGGAAGAAAAAAAAAATCAGTGAAAGAATTGTCTTCACATTTCGATCATTTCTATATATTAGTTTGAGAAACAATTAAATAATTAATACAAAATAATTCAATTTTATAACAGAATCTTGAATTTCTATGTTAACATGGAATTATCCTGTTAAAGGTAGTATTTAAAAACTACATTTTGATGTCAGAAACTAGAACCACGTCCTCTGTGATCACCTCTGATAAAAGTAACATTATTACTAAGTAGAAACAATAAAACATGAAGAAAATACTGCAGATAGAATTTAATGAACGTAGTCTATGTTCTGATTATCAAAATGTTGTGCTGTCCAGTTACACTGTCCTAGTATCTCCATCAAGTCAGAAGAGGACCGCATAAACGTCACAGCAGCTACCACACAAAGTGTGTAGGCAGAGAGACTGGAACGTGACTTGACAAAGTGAGAATGACTATGGCAGGTAGCAGTAACTTCAAATACTGCGCTTCTGAGAGACTCAACAGGTATGCTCAATGACTTGTTATTTTACCTATAATTTTTTTGTACTGGAAAGCTATAGCAAGATAGTAATAAAGTTCAACTGTTACAAATATTCAAGTACTTCACTTACCTCATCTGGGTTGGCATTAAAGGTGAGACTGCCTTCATCCAGCTGCATATACAGTTTTCTAAAAGAAAATCCTAGAGGTGGGTTCTTATTGTATATGGAACAGTGACCCCAAGTGGATTTGCACAACCTGTAAAAATAAGAGTAAATCAGACAAGAAAACATTACTGTATTTAATTTCCTAGGTTAAACATGAATACACATGACAAAATAGTAACATGAAATGATAGAATATTAGCTCTTACAGCGCTAAGGTTTAAAATGTTTAATTTTGTACTTACTTTTTATTTGCTTTCTAGAGTATGACAGGTAAACAGCTTAAATTTAGCAATTTTGATAGCACTTAATAACTGAGAGTAATGAAGATTAATGACGTTCGTGAGTACTGTCTGAAGTTAAATATAAACTACTGATAATAACAGTAATAACACTAACATTTACTGAGTGTTTAATAAATGCTAGGCACTATTTTTAAGCATTTTAATTGTATTAACTTGCTTAATCCTTATAACAATCCTATGATGTTGCTGCTACAGAGAAAGAAACAAATACAGAGATGTTAAGTAAGTTGCCCAAGGTCGCACAGCTAACATATGTAAGGGCAGAATTTGAACCCAAGAAGTCTTATTCTAGAGCTTGCAATCTGAATAAGCTAATAAGCTAAACTTTTATTAATAAGCTAAACTGGGTCTATTAAGTAAGCTATGTGCTCTATTGTGAAATACTGTCTAAAGTGAATAGGGGAAAAGATTGCTGGGTGGGGGGACGGTGGGAGAACTTTCTGCTTTTTTAACAATATGCATATTAACAAGCATATTAAGCAGAGAGATTATTTTCAATGCCACAACTTCAACATATACATCAAAAGCTGCGATGTTAAGCATAGCTGTTTTTAAGATATTGCTTCAAAACACTGATTTTTTTCCTATCACATTACTGCTTAAAAATTCTATAAAACCTAAAATGCTAAGAGTTTGTAACTCAAAACACACTATTTTCTGACGATTGGGAGAATTGTTTCCAGATTTGTTCCAAGGCATTAGTTACTGGTTATTATTTGAAAGTTAAAATTTTATCTTATTATAATGCCTGGAGCACTGGTGGCACAGCGGTGAAGAGCTATGGCTGTCAACTAAAAGGTCGGCAGTTCGAATCCATCAGCTGCTCCTTGGAAACCCTATGGGGCACTTCTGCTCTGTCCTATAGGGTCACTAGGAGTCAGAATCGACTCAATGGCAACAGGTTTGGTTTTGGTTTATTATAATGCCTGGAAATTCTTATATACCTTAGATGTTTAAGCATGAGTGCATTTTCTAGAGACATACTGAATACTGAAATTGTATTCTGATACATTTTTTATGAGTCTTTGCCTCAAAATTATCTGATTTTCAGTACATTTTCAAAAACAGATGCTACTTGTAGAGATAAACATACTCAAATAGTTTCTGAGATTAATTATTGATTTTTGCCTCAAAAATTCCTTCTTTCCTTATCCCCACAAAGTACAGCAAAATAAGAAAAAGTTATTGTCTCAGCCTATAACATCAAATATTGTGAGGAATTAACGAGAATACCCCCTTCTTGGTTAATTTAGACCTTTGTATTATTTTTACCAACCAATGAAATCATTAATTCTAAAACTAAGTATAATAGATTGTTTAGAAAATTATCAATATTTTAGCAGTATCTTCAATCCGGTCTTATAATTTTGAATTTTATTACTATGCTATGTGAAAGCAACAGAACCTTCCAACATTAGTAAGTATCCAACACATCTAAAGTTAAAATAAAAACTAACAGAAAGGGCCACATGAACCAGAAGACTTTATCAGACTGAGACCAGAAGAACTAGATGGTGCCCGGCTACCACCAACAACTGCCCTGATAGGGAACACAACAGAGAGTCCCTGATGGAGCAGGAGAAAAGTGGGGTGCAGAACTCAAATTCTAGTAAAAGGAGCAGACTTAATGGTTTGACTGAGATTGGAGGGACCCCTGAAGACATGCCCCCAGACTCTGTGTTAGCCCAAAACTAAAACCATTCCTGAGGCCAACTCTTCAGACAAAGATTAGACTGGACTACGGGACATAAAATGATACTCATGAAGAGTGTGCTTCTTAGCTCAAGTAGATACATGAGACTAAACAGGCAGTTCCTGTCTGGAGGCAGGATGAGAAGGCAGAGAGGGTCAGGAGCTGGTTGAATGGACACAGGAAATCCGGTGTGGAAAGGAGGAGTGTGCTGTCATAGTATAGGGAGAGCAACTAAGGTCACATAACAATGTATGTATAAATTTTTGTATGAGAGACTAACTTGAATTGTAAACTTTCACTTAAAGCACAAAAAAAAAAAAAAAAAAAAATTAGGGGGGGAAAAAAAACCCTAAGCCAGCCTTTAATTTCAAATGCAAGCAATATACCCTTTAAAGAAAAAAAATCCAAGTGTCACAAGAATAGGCACAATTACATGATAAACAATAAAGGAAACATTTCTTTCAGAAGTTAATAATCCAGGTTTAAACACCAAATGAAGAATACATTCTGATTTAGTTCATATAAGCCAAGAAATAAATTAAAAAAAAAAATAAGTTTAGCTATAAAAACACAAATTAAATTTGTTGGGAATACTAAAATGTAGGAAAGAGATTATAAATAAAGAATGAGCCAGTTTTAAAGTCCTTTCATTTTATACTCACATAATGATTAAAAAATCAATAATGGCGATTATAAGCAGATTAGTTAATAGAATTCCCTCTCACTTTCCCAGTATCTTCACTATGACAAGGCAATGAAGGAATAAGATGATAATGGTACTTTTACCTATTTAGAGGTTAAGAAATGAACTGATATTTAATACTATAATTCTGTGGCATTAGAAAGCCTAAAATGGGGATGTTGTTAATGGTAATACATTTTTAATAAAGTTTGTCAATTTAAAATTAATTCTTTTAATCAGGTTTTATTATTTAAGTATAAAAAGCCTTTTTTTTTTTAAGGTATGGTCTACATCTAGGTGAAATCCCCTTTTAAAATCATAAAACTTAAATATAGTTTGGTTAAGAATGCTAGAAAATCCAAGATCCAGTGATTCTCCAGGATTCAAAAAGAAAGAAAAAGAAATCATGTGCCTATAATTATGTGATGCGATTTAAGGAGTAACTTAGATTCAATAAAACAGATTCTATTCTGCCAAACTTTCCCAGATTCATAGTTTAAATTTAAACTGGTACAATAGTTGCTAAATTTCTATACTATACTTCCAGTTCAGCAAGTTGATTCTTTATTCTCCTGCTACCTAACATTACCAAAGTAGATACAATTTCCACTAGTTACAGTTTATGTAATACTTATTGATTTTTAAGTACGGTTATCCATCTGATAGAATGCAAATACGGGAGACACGAACTACAGCAGGTGAGTGAACATTCTAAGTTTTGGATTATAAATTCTCATTTCTCAATTCTGCTGTATTTTTAGAATAAACTACAATTTCTGATTTATAATAAACAAATACATCTTGATTGGTAACCTCTCTTCTAACTATAAAGGGATTAGAATACTCATAAATAGAATATTTTCTTTTATACCATCCTTTTCCCAATATTACTTTGAATTTGATGATAACTGTATCTTTATTCTTCCAGGTTTTAATAACGAACAACTCAAAGTAGAAGCACAAGTTAACAATAAATATTTCATAATACATAGACACCTATTCTAAAAAGAACATTTAAACACAATTACTCTCCAAGATACTTGAATCAAACGTCGGTGGGTTAAACTTACCCTTGCCAGAGAAGTTCATCATTAGCGAGGTCCTGCCAAACACACGAAGCCAAGCAAAGGTCAGTGGCATTCAGGTAGGACAAGATGGTAAAGCTTAGCTCGGGAGGCAACATTTCCAGATTAATGAATCCTTCCCGTTCTTTAGACTTTCTTGTCTTCAGAAGATGATATATGTCAATACCTCCTTGGACTTGCTTTCGAGGATTGGCATTAGAAATGTTGCTGGCAGCCATTCTCCTGCTCTGTTCTCTGGTGAGGTAGCCGTGCTCACTGTAGCCTTCCTGTTGTAGCTGGTTTCCGGCCACTCTCCACAGCCCCTGACCCATCTGCAAGGCTGGGAGAAAGCCAGAGTGGAATAAGGGCTTACACTGGAAAAGTAACCCATCTTTCTCAGTCGTGTAACAAATCTGACATAAAGCATTCATTTACCAGAATTAAAATTCCCCATTAAAGCATATTAATAGTAGTAGCATGTTACAACGAATAGCTGAAACATTATAAGTGCAAAACGGAGACAGAAAATTTCAGAAATATTTGGTTTGATCATCTTCTTTATCCCAGCTGGCTAGCTACTTTTAAAGTCCACAGGTGACATAATCATTTTTCACATGGTAAGATTTAAAAGTGTGATGTCCTAAAGACTCTTACAAATTATAATCACGTGGACTTAGGGGCCAGTATTAAATATAGCTCTGATCAGCGCACTGGACTTAAGTTAAAAGGTCTCTAGACCCTGCTTTTTATCACAACCCATGCTAAGCTAAGCAAGACCCTTTTAACCAAACTCCCAGATGCATAACAGCTGTGAAACAGGCTTTTCGTTTCTTTCTTGCCAGTCTACACTTAGGTTGTAGACTGTAATAAAATGTAACATGGGCCCTGAAGTCTAATTCAGAAACTTTATAAATTAGACACCTAGAACTCCACAGTAATAACTGACTGTTTGGTTTTGTTGTTGCTTTAAATTAAAAAGCATACTGTTGACTAATTTTCCAGTTCTTCTCCACACAGCCCTATGGATTTCTCAGAGGTACCAGAGAGGGTGTATCCAGTCTCCCCTAGCTCTACTTGACCTTCAACCACAGCAGCTATATACCTTTATCTGTTACAGTAACCTTCAACTAGAACAGCTATACTTTTATCTATTACATATATTGGACTTCAAGTATAAAAATACTTAGAAAATGACTGGCTATTTGGTGTTGGCCTTAAAATATGCAGCCTTTTCTGGGCAAATTCATTGAGAAAAACTAAATCAGAAGAAGTTTTTAACTAATACAAATAATTACTATCATGATCTCTTCTCCAAATAAAAAATTCTTATTTTATAAACCCAAGCTGACTACTGATGTATTTCAAAAATTTGGAAAAATAGTGATTTCCACATAAAAATCATTTATCTATCTATTTATATATCTATATGTAGACGGATACGTCAAATAATTTTCATGACCATAAGCATGACCTGAACTTAAAACATGGTTTTAATTAGCTGGACTCACAAAAACAAACAAATGGGTGACCAGAAATTTTGAAAATTATTAGGAATAAGTTTTTGAGTAAAACTTAAAAGAATGTCAAAGAGTTTTTTTAAGAATGAAAAAAAGGTATGATCCACTTGTATATTTACTGAGTTATTGTATATTGTTTGGATAATGGCCACTATAATGGGTCACTTGTTGATCAAAACAGAAAAAACAGTCCATTGTAATTTTTAACTCCTCCTTTACAGAGAACTGCTTGGAATTCCAAAAGCTTAAGCTATAGAAGGATAGGGGCAGAAAAAAAAGGAATGTAATCAATATTTTAATAATTTAAAAACGTGGGGAAATTTCTTTTAGCAAAAAACCCTCAAAAGATACCTCCCCCACCATGACACATAATATCACAAGAATGGTATCAGTTCCTAAATGTGTGGCTAAACTACAAAAATTAAATTCTTAAAAATACAGGTTATCAACAAAATTTATAAGGAGTTTTACGTTTGCTTAATGTTTGAATGTGCCATGTCATATTACAACATAAGTAACACTTAATTTTGACACAAACTTTAACAGCTTAAGACTCCCAGTCAAAAATAAAGGTATTTTATTTTCATCATGGTTATTCATATTTAACTTAGCAAGAAAATGGCTAGAAATTGCATTGATTGCCAAGCTCATCAAGCATACACGCTGTCATTTTAAACCATAACATTTATTCTTCTCTTTTGTCTTTGCACAACTAAAGGCAAATAATCAAACACGGTAACTACTGTGTTTGAATTTTAAGCTTTTAGGTATTTAATATAAATTTCTGTATATTTCCACTAAAACACCTTTCTAGTGACATATGGCTAAGCAGCTGTTGTTAGTCTCAGGGCTGTTGCTAGGGAACAGAGAATCAGGGTGATTTCCCTAGGCTCTGGACTTTAATGGGGACCACTTAAATTGAGCACTGAATAATGTGATTCAGAAAGCATCCGGTGGGTAAAAACAGGTAAAGCTAGCAGCTGGTTCTTTAAAAAAAAAAAAAAAAACGCTGGGGAGGTTGAAGGGTTGAAGCTCATACACACATAATTCAGACAAAGAAAAGTGGGCAAGGTTATATTTCATTTTCACGTAATTCAGCTAATGAAAACTGCAAGATTATACCTCACTGTCTATTCTCCTGCTGCTAAGCAATACTGCAAGTTGCCCTTTTAGGACTTCTTTTTCCCGTTATAGCAGTCCTTCATACTGGCTAAGAACACTGGATGTTTTCCCTTGGGCCATAAATCACTCTGAGGAAGACTGGTATCATAAGGGTAGCATTTGGAGAAAGGGAAGAGTGTCAGTAGTGTTCCATCCCCAACCCCAGTTCTTCTTTAGGGTAACAGGTATGTAGAATGTAGGCTGGGACTGTCAGAAAAGTGATAAAACTCTCAAAAGGACATGCCATCCATTGCATAAGTTGTGAAGCAACTCATGGAAGCAGCACAGTGTTATAGGCTCTGAATTCAGACAGACCTGAGTTTGAATCCTGGCTCCACCAGTCATTAATTACAGGAACCTGGGGGAGTGACTTTACCACTCTAAGCTTTAATTTCTTCACCTGTAATGTGGAAAAATAATGATGATAATACCTAATACCTATAGCTTGAAAGCCTGTTGTATTAAATGAGATAATGTAAATATACTTCATTCCATGGCTAACAATCAATACATGTTAGCTATTACTTTTAGACAAAATCATATTTTTATTAAGAGAAATGAAAATGATGAGCACTTTGCTAAAACGTATTTAGTGATATCTCAACTATCCTGATGTTCTAACTGCCAAATGAACTTATTTGTTCATGTTGATATTTGCATAGCTATGTAGGGTTTGGTACACAATTCTTTGTCTCCTTTAGTTGTGTGTTATTTCAAACATGGTTTTTTTTTTCTTGTAAATGCAATTCTTTCATATCAATGACCAAACCAAGAAAAACCAAAAGACAAAACAACAACAACAAAGCCTGTATTATCTTCCACAAAAAATTTTAATATGTTCACCCAGCATGCCCAATGACAGCGTCAATAGCAGTGGCATGAAAGACGTTATTCTGATATAATTAATAATCTGTCTACATCTGGCTCTACCAGAAACATGAAATATGACGCAGTTTCAGGATGGGTTCTTGCACAATTTCAAATTCTTGAAAACAGGTGGTTGGGCTGAATCAATCAAGATTTGTTTTCAAAGTCCAAAGTCTTCAGATTTGTCCGAAAGTTTTAAAAGAAAATCTTGCTATAAAGATATTTAACATTGAAACACTAAAACGTAGAGCACTCTTGTCACTTGTGCCAATTTTTCAGTCAAAAAAATCTGAGAATTTCAACTTGAAAAACATTAAGGTAGTTTTTGTATTTGAAATCATAGTTTTGGAGTAAATATTTATTTTGTGATGAAACCAATGCTGACAGTTAATTTATTTACTCAAAACAGATGAGGAAAACAGACGTTTATTTTTTAGAAATAATATTTACCCTTCTAAGAACATAATTAGTCTACTTCATATACAAATAAAAGATTTTTTTTTGAGCTGGTGGAGATCAGGTCAAAAGATAATGAAGAAGAAAATTTTTACAAAGGAGTTCACAAGTAGATTCCTGTAAAATGAAACAAAATCAAATTTAATTATCGGCATATTTGACCAAAAAGTATGGGGCTTCTTGAATAATATTACTTTCTTTTCTGCTTACCAATAATATGTAGTAAAAACAAATAGTACACAGTAACTGTCAGTTTGTGTAGGATAATGAAATATTTAAAGATCATATCAATAAAGACATATTTCTGATGTAGTTATCTGTGTCTGACTCCCTATTATTCATTTCATTCCAAATGACTGGTTTAAGCATTTATGGTAATTTCATTCCCTTTGCCAGTGTTTGGTTTAAAAACAGGTCACACAATGCTTGTCAATAAAAGAGGGAGATGGTCCCCCTTTTCTCCTTATTCAGGCTGATGGTAATGCGGACTTACAAAAGACAGCAGAGCAAGGAGATGAAAAGAAACTGAGATACTGATGAGGTCACTGAGCCGCTGTATCAACTGTGTGAGAGTTAACACACTTCCTTATAGTTCAAGTCAATCTGAGTCAAGATTTTTAGCTGAAGACACCCTTGCTGAAGTCCCTGGATTCAACAATGTTGCAGATTAGGGCTATTTTACATAACATAAAAAAAACTTATCTGATATTTAAATAAAGCATGTGATCAGGCTTACAACGCTGCCACTGACTTAAGACAAATTTTAATGAGAAAAGCGAAGAGCTTAATGTAAATCTTTTGAACTTAGTATCAATGAAGTTTTATGAAAACTAAAATAACTCAAATGCTTTCAGAACTGTGGATGTCTACTATATGTATATGTGAAAAGATTGGTAATTACTTTAAAAAATTAATATATAAGAAGCTATACAATTTACGGAAAGATACTAAATGTATGCCAATTATAACTGAAGCACTTCCTGAGATTACTGTAACATAAGGTGCCTGAAACAATTCTTCAAATGCATAGTAGGGTTGTACAGGTCAACTTTGCTATATAACCAAAACCAAAAACCCAGCTGCCATCTAGTTAATTCTGACTCATGGCGACCCCATGTGTCTCCGAGAAGAACTTTCTCCACAGGGTTTTTCAATGGCTGATGTTTTGGAGGAGCCCTGGTGGCGCAGTGGTTAAGAGCGATGGCTGCTAACCAAAAGTTTGGGTGGTTTAATCTACCAGCCGCTCCTTGGAAACCCTATGGGGCAGTTCTACTTTGTCCTATAGGGTTGCTTTGAGTTGGAATCAACTCAATGGCAGCAGGTTTGGTTTTTTCTTTAATTTTTTGGAAGTAGATTACCAGGCTTTTCTCCTCAGAGTGTCTGGGTGGACTTGAACCGACAATCTTTTGGTTAGCAGCTAAGCATGTTAACTGTTTGCACCACCCTAGGACTGCAACCTGGAAATTCTAAGTGGTTTAGAACATGTCTGCTGCCAGAGGTCATTTGTGTGTCTGCTTCACTTTGTTTAGTGTCTTCTCATCCGAGACCCAGGCTGATGAAACAGCACTTACGGGGGACATTCCCAGTCTCATAACAAAGGGGAAGGAAAGAGAAAGGTCAAGCTAAACTACAGTCTCATTTAAAACTTCTGCTTGGAAAAGGCTTATGTTGTTTGCAATATATCATTGGTCAAAGACCAAGTCCAGAGTCACTAAGACTCATCAAGTCATATCACAATAGCTACAGATATACAATCCTCTTACAGGAAGGAGTGAATAACTGTAAAAAGTAATAAAACTTTACAATATGAATGGTAAATTAACTCATTTATTCATATTAATTTATATTTGAATTTATTTTGTTCAAAGCTTCTTCCTCTTGTGCAGAGGATTTTTAAAATTCTAAGAAGCTTCAGAATGAAACCAAATATATTTTCTCTTGATCTCCAAAAGTAGAAATATTACATCATTATTTACCATCTGACAGGAATAAACAAAAAATTTCTAAACTACTTAGGTTACAGAGGAGAAATTATGCTAACAAAAAAAAATGTACAGAAGATTTCAAAGTTGAAAATCTTCCATTCAGAGAAGCAAAAAAATTACTAAGAAAAAAATTCAAGGCAATCAGGATACTGTATTTTCTCCTTATTTGTCAGAATGGTAATAAAATTAACATCTGTTTGGAGGATAGTCTTTTGTAAGGCCTTGCAACTCTCACCTGAGCCATGTGATCAGAAGCCTAGGGTCCAGAACATTCCCTGATAGTGGAAGCGGGAACTGTGCCTCACTCCGTGTTCGTTTCTTCCTCCTTATTAGGGGAACTCCTTTCCTGTTACAGGCCTAACGGGCACATCTTTGTTCTGCTTATGCATGTGGTGTCATATGGCACCTGGTCAACCCCACTACTCGACCTGTTCCTGGTGGGGAGGGAATGGTGTTTCTCAACTGCAACACGAGGGGAGTGCGTGCACTCTACCAGCCCTGTGTCGGCTGTGGGGAGTGACCTGCTAGCTATGGGGAACCAGGGCCCACTATTGAAGCTGACCTTGTTCTGTCCCTTCTCTATGTGAGGAAAGTGTTGTTCCATCCGCTGCTTATGTGTAAGTCGTGTTTCTTGGTGACCTTGGACGTTGGCTTGATAATATTTAGAATCAAAGATATCGATACAAAAAAAACAAACTAATTGCTGTTAAGTCGATTCTGACTAATAGTGACCTTATAGATCAAAGTAGAACCGCCCCAAAGGGTTTCTAAGGAGTGGCTGGTGATTTGGACTTCCAACCTTTTGGTTAGCAGTCATAGCTCTTAACCATTGCGCCACCAGGGCTCCTAAAGATATTGATACTATTTACTAAATTTAAATGTACACTTTATAGAGAATGATTAGCAGAAAATAAATCTCAGAACCACTTTTTAAATCGGATGACACACCAAATGAAACAATGATCAAACAAGCAAATGAATGATTCAAAAATTTCTGTTTTCCTGGAATTACACAAACATAGCTATCAATTTAATTAATCTTGACTGTTTATTAAATCACTGTTAATACTTAATTTAATAAAAATGAATCTTGATTGTTTTCTAAACTATTGTTTATTATTACAGTAGTCAAGTAATGCTCCTGTGTCTCAGAGCTATTATATTCTGCTTTGGTTTAAGGCCAAAATACTCTGTTTCAATTCCAAATTGCCCTCAAATGCACTAATGCAGCATGGTAGTGACCAGGAGACTCAGAAGCCTGGAACTAATGGCTACTGAATAGGGACTGGTAAGCAAACTGAGGAACCTTGAAGGCTCAGTGGTACTGTGGATAAACTTGAACATCAGCTGAGAGGCAGCTATCTTCCTCATTTAATCTTATACACGAGAATTTCATATGTTGGTTTATATATTATCATATCTTGGAGTCCCTAGATGGTATAAACGGCTAAATGTGTGGATACTACTAAC